TTTAGTTTGAATACAGTTCATTATCTCTGAGGGGCATGAGTAGAGAACAGGAATTTTTATTTTATGAAAGCTTCAACTTCACTCAGTCATTTTTCTTCTCTTGACTGGACAGCAAATCTTTCTGATTTTACAGAAGAGGAAACTGAGCCCCACAAGATGAACTGTCTCTAAGGATCCTTTCAGGTCTAAGTCTGTGGTCCTATGGCCCATTTGATTATATGCCAAAGATTAATAATGTTAGCTTCCATTCATATAGCACTTTAGAATATTCAAAGCTCTTTAAGCAGGTTATTTGATCCTCACAACTGTCATGGGAGGTAGACAGGACAAATATCATTATGCCAGTTTAACCAAGAAACTAGAGTTCAGAGAAGGTGAGTGATTTGCCCTAGGCACACAGCTAGTCAAGGATGGAGCAGGGGCGTGAATCCAGGTCTTCTAATTCCATCTATAAAAATCTTTCCTCTATAATAACTCCCTGCCTCACAATTATCATGCCTGTTTTACAGATGAGGAAAATAGGGTCAGAGAGGTCAACATTACAGTCAGAAAGTGGCAGAGCTCAGACCCCAAACCAGGTTTTTCAACTCAAAGTCCAGGGCTCATCCCATTAAACTATGGTGCCTTTAATTCTTAATTTTGTAGTTCTAGGACTTTTCAAGCTCCACTGTTCCAACCATTAAATGGGCAAATCACTTACCATCTCTGGGCCTCAGTTTCCTCACTTGTAAAATGAGCGGGCTGGACTAGATCAGAGGTTCTTAAGTTGGGGTCCATGAACTTGCTTTATTTTAATATTTGACAACTTTATTTCAATATAATTGGTTTCCTTTGTAACCCTATGTATTTTAATTAATTCATTTAAAAGCATTATTCTGAGAAGAATACTGAGAAGAAACCGAAATTGACTTAGCTTTTCTTAGTCTGTCCCAGTATCTAACCTCTTTGGGACTCACTTTCTTCATCTGTAACATAGAACGATTAGACTAGATCATAGTTTTAGGGCTGCAAGAGTTCTTGACTTCTCCATCCCCCCCAAATAACAATCACGGGTCTCTGGGAGGGACCTTAGAGACCATTTATCCAATCCTCTCATTTTACAGTTAAGGAAACTGAGACCCAGAGAGTGTGACTTGCCCCAAGGTCAGTCACATGGGCAGTGGGTGACAGAGTCAAGATTTGAACCCAGGTTTTCTGCCTAAGTCCAATACTTTGCATTGTACCAGACAATCCTCCTGACTTTAAGTAGCAAGTTAGTGGCAGAACAGGGATCAATACTAATAATAAGAAATGATAATTCCATTTTAAATAGTACCTACCATGTTCCAGGCTCTGTGCTGTGATAATATTTTACAAATATTATCTCGTTTGATCCTCACAATAACATTAGAAAGTAGGTGCTATTGTTATGCCCATTTTCCAGTTGTGGAAACTGAGGCAGAGATTAAGTGATTAGAATCCAGGTCTCCCAACTCTCTTCCTAGTGTTTTTTTCTACTATAATATTTGGAGATCCTAGTGACGCATGTATTTCTTTAAAATAAAAATCTGTATTGCTAAATAAGAGACAGAAGATATACCTGGCCCTCCTTATAAGTCCTAGCCCTCCTTACTGAGTCGTTCTGACTTATGCCTTGCCATTGGACTTTGACTCTGGAGGAGAGAGTAAGGCTGAAGACTTTGCATAGCCCTGCCTCACTTAAATCCAATTCACTTGCAAGTCAAGCCATCACCCTCCAGATGTCACTGGTCCTCTTCAAGGATGAACAACAAAAACAACAAGGCCTCCTTACTATCTACAACACCCTGAATAAGTCAGTGTGAGAGTTGGAAAGGACGGTAGAAAAATCATCTAGTCCAGCCAAATCTTTTCACGGATGTGGAAACTGAGATCCCGAGAGAGGGGTGTATGAATTGCCCTTATTGTTTATAACATAGCTAAAACTGGAAACCTTGTCACCCAGGTAGTAAGTTACATTAAATTTCTGCTCCCAAGACTATCATAGCACACCCTATTAAAAAATTTTATCTTCCTAATTCCTTCTTTCTGTCCTTGGCACTACTTGAATCTGGTTGCTAAGTCATTTTTCTTAAGAAAAAAAAAAGGCAGAGATAATACCACCTTAGTGTATGATGAGTTGAATAATAAAATTAATTTAAAATAAGATGCAGTAATATCATTTATAAATAAGGAAAATCATTTTGAAGAAAATTCATTTTAAACGAAATTCAATAAAATTGGTTCCAAAAAAAGAAAGAAAAGAAAATATGACTCTGGGCACCACTAGGGGCACTATTTCTTACAGCACAAAGACCGCTAGGATAGCAGTGGGGGAGCCCCGGATTCCATCTGCAGTTCTGGCACTTACTTGTCATGCGACTTTAGAAAAGTCACTTACTCTCTGTGGACCTTAGTTTCCCCACCTATAAAGCCAGAACTAGATGATTTCTAAGGTCTCTTCCAGCTCTATGATTCTATGATTTATAAATTTCAGATCTGTCAAAGGAAAGATTAAGAATGATGAGATGGGAACTATACCAGGAATACACAGGCATTTTTAAAAATTAGTTTAATAGATGATTCCTTTGGGTGGGAATTGTGGGCTGGAGCTGAGGGGACTTTCTGGAAGTAAGCTATAAAAATGGGACTTTATCACTTTGATTGAAGATTTGGGGGTATTGTCATAGACTTGTCTATTTTTTAGATGAACAAAAGTTCATCAGACTACTAAACAGGTCCATGACACCAAATAAAAGGTTAAGAACCCCTGTCATAGGCAGACAGCACAGCCCATGGGTCAGATAGATTAAAACTCAGGTTCTCCAAATAAAGTCTGAGGTCTTAGGGAAGGGAATGCTAATAACCTAGGGATGCTGCTGAAGGTAAAGAGAATACTGGGAAGCATAGCATTGAGAATGGAAGAAATATTTTGAAGGAAGAGTATAGGAAACTGATAGTTGCTTAAGGAAAGAAGTAACATCTGATTTACAATATTTCTTTCCACTCCCTCCCCCACCATCCTCAAATTGATGAACCTTCTCATAGCCTGGCCTCCCAATTCCTCAACACCTACGATTTTCATCATAGGGAAAAGGTAAATCATTTGTTATTTTTGATTATCTGCAGTCGTGTTCTCAAAGCACTGATAACTGAGGGTTATAAAGGGATATATATTGAAGGCAGCTAGAATGTGGAGTTGAGGCAGTGCCAGATTTGGAGTCAGGAAGACCTGAATTTGAATCCTGCTTCAGACCCCAGGCAAGTCACTCAATTTCTCTCAGCCTGTTTCCTCATCTGTAAAATTCGGATAATAAAATCGCCTACCTCCCACGGTTGCTGTATGAACCAAAGGAATTGCTACATGCAAAACTCTTTGCAAAGTTAGCCATATGACTGTTAGTTATTATATATTTCCTTTTACTCAGCCATAGAACACTAGAAGGCACCTTAGAGGTCACTACTCCACCCTCCTTATTGTAAAGCTGAAGGGGTTTGAACGGATATGATTTGCCAAAAGTCACACAGTTAATAGGTTGCAGAGTTGGACTCAAACCCAAGTCTCCTGGCTCTCGGTTCTTTCCACTATCATCATGCAGATCTTCTCTACGTAGGAATGCTTCTGAAAGGTTGTGTGAAAATTAAATTTCGGCAAGGAAACTCGCTCCCCAATTTCCCTTTGGTGTAAATCCATATTTGCCTAGCTAAGCTGTATTTAAAGCGTTCATTTAAAGATTGTTAACAGAGCACTCCACTAAAATCTATACATGATGGTGGCGAGGTAGCCCTGGGTTCTTGGAAGACAACTGGCAACTCCGAACATACTGCAAAGGCTTGGTGATTGTATTGTTATGTCTGTTAGTGGAAAACCAGTGTTAACAAAGTTCTGAAAGGCTTATCACCAAAAGTCTGAACTCTGAGAGACAACCTTTTGGGCCAGGGCCACTAACAGAAGGAAGGACTAGATCTACATTGCTAAACATCACAGGTCCTGGAAGTTTTGAAGAGAAATAGGAGAACCATCGCTTATCCCATTACCCCTTCTCAGATACCGAGCCAGATCCTAGGAACTCTCTGAAGAAGCATTTGGAGGCTCTCTGTCTTTAGAAATCTTAAAATAGCACTAAGACATTAGGAACACCCTGTATTTCTATCCATCTCATCCTCTCATGTAAAATGGCTAAGGTCCCCAACATATTTTCTTTTCCCCAAGCTCCCCCTAATCTAAATAGGTGAAAAGTAATTTCGACGGAAGAAAGTGAAAGCTCAAATCCCGGTCACTGGGGCTATAAAAACATCTCCCCCCCTTACTCTACTCCAACCCTAATAGTTCCTAAAGTACGAGAATTTTTGAAAATCACTTCGAGGTCCCCAAGGTGGCAGTCACTTAGTCATAAATCAATTGCACTAGGTTGTAGGCTCGACACCTTTCCATTTCACGCTGTCTCCGTAGACGCCGTCCAGAAGCCGGCTGCCACTAGGAACTTCCCAAGGGTGGGAGACAAAAGCTGTGAGCCTAGAGGCAGGGGCAGCCTTTCCCAGGCCCGCCGACCTGCGGGAGCGCCATACGGCTCTTTCCCAGCCTGCGGTTCAAGAGCGCTCTACTGTGTCCCGGGCTCCCGGGACAGAAGTTGCCGCTGCCGCAGCAGCTGCCGCGTCTCGCCTCCTGTGAGAGTGAACCACGCGGCGTGTTCGCCGCAGGACCGAGGCCAGCCCTGCAGCCGGGCAGGGGACGCGCGGGGAGCGCACAAACAGCGGGCGTAGTGCACGCCCCGGCGGCCAGGCGCGGAGCAGGATGGCAACGCAGAGCCCAGCTAGCCGAGTCCCCGCCTGGAGGCAGACACCGCCCCTCAGCTACGAACTCTCCCTCCAGTTTGCTGTCTCCTTGCCCTGCGGGAATAGGGGCTATGGGGCTAACGCCTCCGGCGTCTAACGAGGACTGCTGCGCATACCTGTACCTCTCCACCACGGGAAATCCCGGGGAAAGGGAGAGTTCCGCTCACCTGCAGCCTCCTCTGCCTCCTTCTCCGCTGCTGCTCTAGCAGCCCGTGTAGACAGGGAGCCGAAGGAGAGGCAAGGCGCGGCCACGTCTTCCTCGCTCTCCTTCGTTTCCAAAAAAGCAGGCGGCTCCTCTCCTGGGAACGCTGGAGACCAGAAATCCGTGCCACTGCCGCCGCGCCGCCGCTGTCTCCTCCTTCCCTTCCTCCTCCAAGTCCCATCCCAGAGCGTTCCCCTCTCCTGCTGCTTGGGCTGCTTCTCTACACGGGCGGGCTAAGGGGCGGGATGGGGGGGGGACGGGGAGGAGAAGGGGGGGAGGCGTTCTGAAAAAAAGGGGAGGGGGAGGAGTGAAGGAAGGGGCATCCTGTTGGAGGATGAGTTGGGGAGTTAGGGAGAGCAAACCAAATGGAGTGGCCCCAGGGCCCAAGTTGTTCTTACTTGGCTGGGCCTTGCTCCGCTTCCTCCGAGTCACTTTTCACGTCCCCCAGATTGTACTATGGGTCTGGAGCCAACAATTCAGCAACAGAACAACAGAGTAGCGTTGGGGCAGAGGAGCATCCCCACTTGGCAGGAGGCGGTTTGAAATTGCAGGGACAGAATGGAGTGAATCAGGGGCTCTGGGCACACAGTTTCAGGAGAGGAAGACTTCATTCTCTCAATGATGATGATGATGATACTGGTCATAATAATGGGGTTAATATGGAAAAAGAATTATGACAACTTCCAGGAGCTGTTAGATGGTGCCCACGATGGAGTGCCCTCCAACCTGATGCCAAGCGTTCTGGGATGAGTGTGCCAGAACCCAGAGGAGACAAAGTTCCTGCCCTGGAGGAGTATAAAGTCTAGTTCAGACAAGACGCAGAACAATTACATTTCTGTACGGAGTACCCTAGATTCCCAGAGAGCCTTCAGTAACATTTTGAGGTCTTTCAGGAGTGAATAAACCTGGGCTGTTGGGAGGCTCAAGAACTTACCACATCTTAACCTCTTAAGTAACTCAGCTCTGCTACTGAGTCAGACAAGTGGGGTGAGGGGGTCTGTAAAGGAGGGCTGGAATCCTTTACTGGCAAACACTTCACAGACGCTGTACCAAATCATTAACTGATCAAACCCGAGAAAAATGAACGCACCCAGTTCAGGTTTTAACAAGCTATGGGGAGAGGCAGGAAGAATCACAAGTGAGTTTCACAAACACCTCTGAAAGTGCCAAAGAGCCTGAGTGACAGTTGCCTCCTTTATTACCCCTTTAGTGATGCTTGGATTTTGTAGTCATTTCTCCTCACAAAAATCCCAGGAGCAAATCAGCAATTGTATCTTTAGTAGAACAGGAGGAAAAGGGGTTGAGTTCATTGAATGCCAAATAATACCAAAATGTAATCTTTGACTCTGTCCTCTGCCCCACAAATTTGGCTTAGATGATTACATTTGGTTATTTGTATTGATCCTTTAGGTCAGTTCAAGCATCTCTGCATCCTTGGGAAGGTGGCAGCTAGAGGTCAGAGGGTAGGAGGTGAGCCTGCGGGAAGTATGTGGTTTCAGAGATCTCAGAGGCTAAAGAAAAACATCCTTCCTGAAATCTAGGCCAGGGAGAATCCCCTTGGAGCTGGGGAAGTGGAGTTCCAATTTATGGAAATGAAATTATAGTGTCTAATTGTTTCAAAACACTGAGAGTTCAGTAATTTGTCAGGATTCCAGGAGCAGGGGCTTATCCTTGCCCTTCAAGTGTGATCAGGAAATTATAACTGAGTATCTACTCCAGTGCCATGCAAACTAAAGCAGTCATTTTATTCCTAGGGAATTCTAGTCAGAAAAAACAGTCTTCCAAAATAGGAATCTCTGCACAGAAGGTTGAAACTAATGGGCCATAGGAAATGAGAGCAGTTTTCTACTTTGATACTTGGTTTGCATGTTTAACAGAAAAAAAATGGAAGCAACAGTTTGTTCACAACTCCCACCACCACCCCTCATACCAGGATAGAAGGAATAATTGTGATCCTCTCATGAGGAAAGATCATGTCCATCATTTTGCTTCTGAAAGGACCCCTATTTGGATTCCTATGTATTTCACAGGAGAGTCTGAGGCATGCTACCTCCAGATGTGGAATTTTAGGCAGCTCCTTACATAGCAAGATAAGGAAACTCAACACTGAAGTCCTCTCTGGAGTTGAATTGCCAATCATTCAAATTCTACTATAGAAAGCGAAACTCCAGTGAGCTGGCCATGTAATGGTAGCCTGAATGCCAAGTATGCATTTATTTAAAAGACCATTTTATGGAGAACTAAAACAAGGCAAGTCCTCACAAGGTCAGAAGAAGTCATAGAAGGACACTCTCAAATCTTTCTGAAGAAGTTTAGCATCCACCATAACACATGGTCAATGCTAGCAAAGGACTGGCCAGCATGGTGTGCCACATCAAAGAAGGCACTGTGCTCCCATGAGCAAAGCAGAATCGCAGCAGCCCAAAGAAAAGGTGAGATGTGCAAATATAGAGCCATCTCCACCCTAATTGCTCAGACTATTTGTATCCTACTTGTGGTATCCCAAGCTCAATGTTGGACTGATCAGCCATAGCTGAACACACCTTATCTTGACCCTAATATTGTGATGTCATTGGTCCTCTTTGAGTATGAAGAATGAACAACTGGGAGCTCCTACAGCAAAAAATGATAATACATAGCTAACAAGTGCATAGGGCACTAGTACAAACATACCACTAGTTCATTAGCAAACAAATTAAAAACAACAACAACAACAAAAGCAGGAAACATGTGGAACAACCCCTGGCAAGAATGGGCTGGCCACAAAGCCTTCTGGGATTTATAGTTCTTCCCAGTTGGGAAGAGGAAACTAACATGAGTGCCACCCTTGGGGAGGAAGATGGGAAGTGTGTAGGTTTTCACTCAAACTACCAGGGATCTCTCAGAACAACTAGCAGAGAAGGGAGAAGTTGTGGTCATCCTAGGGCAGCGGAGCAAGACCATGGCCGGAGCTGATGCCAGCAATATCTGAAGTTCCTTTACATAAGACTATGAGAGATGACCCTCATTTGAATGGATAAGTTTGGAGGTACAAGTGACTGTGTCTTTTATCCCTGGTACTCACTTACCTGGGGGGAAGCTAGGTGGTGAAGTGGTTAGAGTACAGAGCCTGGAGTCAGGAAGGCTCATCTTCCTAAGTTCAGATCTGGCCTTAGACATTTACTAGCTGTGTGATCCTGGGCAAGTCACTTAAATTAATCCTGTTTGCCTCCGTTTCCTCACCTGTAAAATGAGCTGGAGAAGGAAATGGCAAACCACTCCAGTATCTTTGCCAAGAAAACCAACCCCAAATGGGGTAAAAAAGAGTCAGACATGAATGAAACAAGTGAAAAACAACAACTCACCCAGCAGCAGGAGAGAAACACACCCTCTGAGAAAGGAACAATGGACTGAGAGAGGAACAGTGATGGGTCCGTGCCCTATCCCAGTGTTTTTCTTAAAGTTATTCTGTTAAAGAATATTTGCTGGATTTTATGATATTTATCAAACATCTGTGGTCAATCTGATCCTTATGTTACCAGGTGTCCTTTGGTTTGTGGCATGAGGGCACAATGGGAACCACACAGGAGAGAGGACATGGGAGCAGAGTTAGAGTTTTACTTTAAAATGAGGGCATAAGGACAATCCATTTTATAACCACACTTCTAAATGTGAAATCAATATGAATTCAGGCATAAATCTACCTCATAGAGAAGAGTGGAAGTTATACAAGTAATCATAATGAACACATGAATCACAGAATCACCGAATTTGAGAGTTCAAAGAGACCTCAATGACCATCTAGTCTAATCCATACACAAAAGGAATGTTGTTCATCTTTTGTTTTCAAAGAGGACAAATGGCATCAAGGGGTGATGTTTGACTCCTGAGTGAATTGGATTTAAGTGAGGCAGAGTTGCATAAACCTATAAGCCTCATTCTCTCTTCCAGAATCATTGGATCCAGCACAAGACAAAAGTCAAGATGACTGGTGACGGCCTGGGATGCGGTGGATGACCTCTGTGTCTTTGATGTCTGATGAAGCTCTAAGCACTCCACAGCACCTGCTTCAGCAGTCTTGGTAGACATTGGAACAAATTGTTCTCAACCACTTATTCCTCTGCAGGAAGCCTTCCCATGATTGGGGTAGACACCCCCAAACTTAATGACAAGTCTGAGGCCCGTTGGTTACCCTAGAGCTGGTTTAGTCCATCTGCTGAGATAATCTTACTGGGGTGTGGCCACTATGCATGCAGCAGCTTCTTGGAGCCATAAATGAGAGCCGAGTGCCAGGTGGACACCAAAGATGGATGAGCAGCCCTGAAAGGGGCTCAGCGAGTCCTCACACCAGAGGTGCTAGTCCTTCTGAACACCCCATAGACCCCACCCAAAAGGAATTCCCACTATAATAAACCCTGCAAAAACACATCTAGCCTCTGCTTGAAGTCTTCCAAGGAAAGGGAAACCACTTTCTTTTAAGACAACCCATTCATTCCACTTTTGGACCCCTGTAATTGTTAGACAGTTTTTCCTGACATTTACTTCTTTGCAATTTCCATGTATTGTTCCTGGTTCTGCCCCCAGGGTCCAAACAGAACAAGTCTAATTCCTCATCATTTAATAGCCTTTAGAATACTTAAAGACAACTATCTTATCCGCGGTGAGTCTTGTTTTTCTCCAGGCTATACATGCCCAGTTACTTCAACCATTTCTTATGTATCATGAACTTAAGCCCTGCATCATCCTAGTTTCCATTGCCTGTAAGATCTTCAATCTATCAACACATACCAGTGCTGAAGTTATATCCAAAGCTTGCCCACGTGCACATGCATGGAGATGTATAACTACCTCTGATTTAGCTGTAACATCATCTGTTCACTGACCTGGTGGTATGAGCCCTTGTGTGACTTGCTGACTCTTTTGCACCTACACTCAAATTGGTTGTTGGTTTAGCCTACTATCAGGATCCTTAGACTTCTATGACCAAACCCAGACTAGCTGATGGTCCAGAGTGGCTGTGAGCATTCTCAGATATTGAGTTGTCTTGGTACCCTAGAGGTCTCCACAGTTGAAGTATCAGGTGGGAAAGAAGCTCCCTCTGAACTGAGCCCTCCCTGGCTTTATTGGCCATGGTCCCCCTCAAAATAAGAGAGTTAGTGGACTTTCTAGAGCATACACTGTGTCACTTCTTCCATCTACCATCATCTTCATCACTACCATCCAAGCTTTGATCCAGCTCAGATAGTTTCTC